GGCAACATGTTGGCAGTGTTAAAACCAGTGGGTACTTATGTGAGCTCTGTTTGGGAAAGAACTCGGTAGCCAAACTGTAATCTCTTTAAAGCTAATATTATTTATAATATTTTTATATCATCAATGAACGAGATGCCTACGTGTTATGTGAAAGGCTACACTTCAAGTGCATAACCAACAGAGAATTCTAATAAACTCCAAATCTCTACCTTCTAGTTTTCTGAGGTCCCTTAGGAACAGGCAGCGCTGAACAAACCTTCTCGTCTTTACTCAGCCATGCACACTGTTACTCCACTAACCTCTGGATTCCACTGGGCGAAGCTGCGGCGCATTTCGGTTGTGAAAAGTTTTTGTTCCTTCCTCTACATGGCTTCATACTACATGGAGAGGTATCTATCATTTTTCCAGCCCACTTTGCCAGACACCAAGGCACAACGAAAGACGAAAGGACTGGACAGAGGCAATTATCAAAAATGCTTGCATGTGCAGCACAGACTTCATATCAGGTTAGGGAAAAAGTACATACTGTTGTAGCGATGAATAATGTTTTGTGTATTGAGGATTATCATGTCCACCTCATCAGAAATTGGGGAGATATTAAGAGGAATATTGGATTTCTCCGTAACGCTAACTTTCTAGCACATTAGCTAACGTTCGCTTCGATAACAAAACAAACTGGAGGAAACCTTTCAAGTGTAGTCCTCCTTTGTAAGATTGACATAGTAATCAACCTAGGGCTGCTCGTTTATGGAAAAAAAATCATAATCACGATTATTTTGGTCAAAATTGAAATCTCGATTATGCAAATGATTATGCGGTGAACGTGATGACTTTGTTTACACAACGGCATGTCATTTTTGTCTCTACATGGTTGCGCGTTTACAGTTCTCCTCTGCTCTCTGTATCGCACACGGCGGAGTTCAGCCCCAATGCCCACGCAAACACACACACACACACACACACACACACACACACACACACACACACACACAGACCAACCTCTCTCGCTCTCCCTCTGCCATTTTCCACACGCAGTTTTTAAAATCTTCTGCGATCGCCTGCCCCTCGCATTATTTGTAGTTCACCTACTTGACTGGCTCGTGGAAGAGAGGAGAGGAGGGGGCGGTGTTGTGCATGCGCGGCTTCCGTAGAAGACAAAATAGCATCTCCAGGCGTCCATGACCAAAAATTGTTTACTCTGGATTTCATGAATTTTGAAATCGTTTGACCTCAAAATCATAATCGCAATCACCAAATGATTAATTGCACAGCCTTAAATCAATCACAGAGCTCCCTGTCAAATCATCGATCCACTAAGGCCAGTTTGGTCCCATTGGTCAGTGTTTACTTATTCAAGTAACACCTGTGGTCCCATACAGTGAGTGACCTGACATGATGCATTCATAAATTCAGTCTGAAGCTCTACACTAAAATGAGAGCCCTGTTGGTCGAAGAAACAGAGCGTTCTGTTTCTATATGAATTAATGAGCCTGTAAGTTAATCACACATTCACTCCACTCGGCGCCTCTGCTGCTCTGTTTCCCCAGACAGAGTGCCTAGAGTGAGCTCTGCCAACCCAAGAGTGCAGTGCTCTGGATAACCGAACGGTACATTCAGACAGCACTCTGAATTTACCAACAGTCAAGTTTGTGCCAGAGTGCACTCCGACATTTAGAGTGAGTATTTCTGTATGTCTTCCTCCATTATCTAAAACAAGCCAACAGAACTTGCTAGATAGCTCTAGCTAATGTCTGTGGAGAATTGTTTTGCCTCCAGCAAAGCCCCGCCCACCTAAAAACATCATACTGTTTACTTACAGTAAAAGGGTCTATACATTGGATTCATTTTTACAACTGTATTGTACTTGAAGTGTGCACTGAGCAGCCATGTTGTATAGGAAAATAGAAGCACTGGAAAAAGATTTGGGATTGACAGTATTTTATTGACTTGAATTGGGGTCGGGGTCAAAACAACATGATTAGGACATCCCCAGTTTTTGTTTTTTTGCTGTCAGAGGACACTTTTCAGCATAATTTGCTTTAAAAAATGTCTGAAAAGATGCTAGGAATTACTTTGTGTGGGCGGGACAAACTAGATAGTTAAAGACAAGAGAAATCTTACCTGTGGCTGATGTTATGACTGCCTATTGGTTGACTTTTTTGAGTCAAGCTCTCCTAGTGTTTTGTGTATGGCTTTTCTAAGTAGGAGTAGAAGCTCTCTGCACACAAATTCTTTGACCCAACATAAAACACATGAGAACCAAGGAGCTTGACAAATAACAGTACTCTGGGCTGTAATTAACACTGGTGAAGTATGGGGGGATCCAACACTTTCTAATTTCACTGCAGCATCAAAATCACCCTGCCTCCCCTCAAGAAATAAATCCTCTCCAAATGGAGCCTAATTTCTTCTAACTACCCCCAACACTTTGGCCCTGAGTCTTACCTTGTCTACCCGAACGCAGGCCTTTTTTTCCCCTAGCTGCTATTCCCCCCACTACCCCAGAGCTCCTCAGCCCCATCAGCGGAGTGCTTCGCTCCACATAAATCATTGGTGTCTTGGCAAAGCCTTTTGGGGTACGTTATAGTTTCCCACCGTCGCCTGGCACTCCATCACATGAAGCTAAGCCATTAGTGAGAGGTAATACCTTTGAATGTCACCACAATACTAATTTATCTTAATTGAAGAATTAATTTCCTGCATGTTTTTTCTTGACACTAAATAGTTTCCACATTTGATGTGGGATTTTTCTTTTTTGTTTGTGTTATATTTAGCATTACGTCCTTTCCGTTCTACACCTCCATTCACCTTTTACTCGTCCGAGACAGACAAGATTTAAAGTTAATGTAAGCCGCAGCAGCTGACACCACTTAGGTCATAGCTATTTTGGTCCATCATTCATGTTGGTTGAAAATGCACATGATGTTGGAGGGTAATGTGAACATGACTGACCTGTTAGAGTGTGGTTGTTAGTGATTCATCACTCCACATAGGATAGATCCCTGCATTGTTGGATAGCCATATGTGTGTTTATGGAGCTCCCTTATTGTTAGATAAGTTTGTCTGTATAGGCTTCAGTATGTGTTAAATTTTTCATTTGCAAAAATAGAATTTTTTCCCAGCCTTATAAGAAAAGAATCATGTTGACAAAGTGCTTGACCTCATGTACAGAAAATGAGTTCTATATACAAACTCATACACACCTTGATTTATTACCATTCCTACTCTGTAAATTTGTGGATTTGCAATTAATTGCAGCTCACACGTGGAAATGTTGATTATATTACCACAGACCTTTCTCCTTGCAGTTGAAATGGGTAGGTAGTAGGGCTATAATGGTTTGTGTATTCGTGCTGAACCCTCACTGTACGGGGTCACGGTCAGGTGCATGCAGAGCACACGTTATCTAGATTGATGTACGCAATTAGCACTGCTGAGATTTGCACAACAAGCCAATGGCTGTATGAGTCACACATTACGGTGAGTGCAAATGAAATGGCAGAGCTTGAAGACCTGCCTGCAGTTTCCCAGTCAACTACATTAGCAACTGAGAGAGAGAGAGAGAGAGAGAGAGAGAGAGAGAGAGAGAGAGAGAGAGAGAGAGAGAGAGAGTTGTGTACAAGTTATGGAGGGTGTGTCTGCGTCACTCCGTTGTTGTAAAATCCAAACACGTTCAACATGCTAATGTACGTTTGACAGCATCACTGGACAAAACAGAATACATAAATGTTTGAGTGCTTTGAATGTTTGAATATAGCCATGGTGGAACTCATTGAAACGTTCCTAATGCACAAGTTTTATTTTTATCGTTCTATGTAATTGGTAATTTCACAACACAAGATATGCTTTTTAGTTTTACAGCCCATTGAGACCTGTTGCTTTCTGGGAAAGTGTTTCTTATTTTTAGATTGAAAATAGTAGCCCTACATCAAAGTTACGAATGGGCAAAATGTTACTCAGTTCCCATCAGGACGATTTAGTCTGTTTTTGGCACTGGCACTACTCTCTGTTGAAAATAAAGGAAAAGAAATAGACCGTTAGGCATTTGTGTTTTCCCTGCAGTAACAAAATCGCATGGAACCGTGACTCCAACCAAAACGACTTTTGTCCATAACATGACTACTACCATTACACTCCTAGTAGATGGGCTCTATTAAATGGATGGGGATGAGGTGCCACCACCAGGGGCCAAGGTGCCACCACCAGGGGCCATGTTGCACTTCTTCTCACTGGCTAATGCGCCCATACATGCGTGTTGGATTGGATTGAAGACGTTTGCCACTCTAGTTGAAACCCCTCACTTCATTTTCCCCTCGTGTTTTTAGACAAGAGCAATCAACAGCCTGTAAAGCTGAAGCAGGCAACAAAGAACTTCTTCTTTACTACTGTCTGTGGCGTTCAGTTGGGATGTAGCAAGCATCTGCCCAGCCAGCTGAGGGAAACTATTTTCTTGTTTTATTTATTTATTTATTTTAATGTTTCATTTATTTATTTGTGTTTATGAACATATAACCATTTGATATATTATCTATATTTTGATGAATATTGTCTATCACATTACAAGCAAAGAAAACAATTCGCAGAATTTTTACAAATTAAAACTGAAAAAAAAATCTGCAGATTTCGTTTAGTCTGTGTTCTGAGAAACCTTATGGCGCTTTCAGACACAATGTGATCTGAGCTGTGCTTGCCACTGAGTTCATTGCACACAAGTGCTGCGCTGAGCCAAAACCTGGTTGAACTTCACAACCAGGCCGTCGAGCTGCACGCTGTGGCTGTGCGCATGTTTTGCTCGACGCAGCGTAAAGCTGGTGTGGTGCAAGCCATGGAATAAATAGGTTTTAGGGTGCAGCAGTGCCATTGTGGCTTGTGTCTGAAAGGGCTTTTACTATTTCCATCCCAGTCATATGAAAGCATGGCTCTTACACCTGCATATGTAATTGAATTACCCCTGTGCACACTCCTTTGGGGTTTCTCAAAGATAAAGCTTGAGGCTGTCCTTATTGATATGCTCTGATGTTTATTGTTCAAATGTCCCCTATTGCACAATACATCTAGACTTTACAAATATTTATAAAAAGCGTTTTTGATACAGGAAAAGGATTGCTGACACTAACCTGAAATCAACATGAACAAAAAAATTCAGAGAATCTTCCAAACCCCCTTCCCACTCACCAACTTCAAAATGTGGACAGAGATGCAGAAACAGAAAGATTGGCCCAGTTTCATCTTACATGTAAATCATGGTTTAAGAACAAGTTGATTTCATTCTTTGATGTCTTGCTGATTTATCAGACCTGTTTTCAGTGTTTAAAAATATCCCTTGCTGGGGGTATTTTCACTTTTTGGAAGTTTCTGCAGAAATTCACCCTCAACATGATGTTGAAGCTGTTGCACATATTTTCCCTAAATGGGCATTTCTTGTTGATGGTTTTTATTTGTGGAATGAGGGCATTTTTGAAACTGCAGGAATTTTAGGAGATGACAGTACAACAGAGCTCGTCCAGAGCCATGTTTCTGAGGAAGGCTACTTTTTGACAGGGGCCCTGAAGCTACAGTGTAACATTTTTGGCTCTGAAGACTGATTGAATATGGTGGCCAATAGTGTCCCCAGAGAAGCTTCACAGCATAGTTATTAGTTCTCTTTCTGCTTTTAATCATGATGTTTAAAAGCCCTTCCATTCAAGTAGCAATTACAGTCCCACCAACTTGAAAATTAAGTAAAAATGAATGGAAAAGCATCAGTGTTGTCCACAAGACTGTCTTGTTTGGCTCATCGTTCCAATGAGTCCAGCAGTCTGAGAAAATGAGATCAAGTGGAAGTTTGTATTTCCCGTCAAGCCACAGGGGGGTCAGTCCTGGCTTAAGGCTTGCTCATGTCCATCTGTCCCTGCTCACCCTGGTACCAGCATGGCCCTGTCTCTGCCATGTCTTCCAGCCCTTTGTTATCTCCCCAGCTCATGGCTGTGACCTGGCAATATGGCTTCTTTGTCTTCATCCTTATGTAGCCTGTCCAGTTTCTTCCTCCTCACCTGGGGGAAGATGTTCATGTCAAACTTGACTCTAACTGACTTTCTAATGGACTTGTCCTTCACTTATGCTCACTTCCTCTTTCCTTGTGGAAGTCTTTTCTGATGGCAGGTTTTTAGAAGTCCCTTATCTTTGGCACTTCACAGCGTGGTGTAGATGTAAACAAAAACGATCACAAAGAGGTTAAGGAATGTGCCGATGATGCCTAACATGGCCAAGATGGACTCCTCCTGCTCCTCCTTGACCTCCAGTGCCCGCACGTCCTCAAGGGTGATAACCGTGGTGCCCATGATCCTGATGCTCACCTAACCTGGTAAGGGGACACTTATCTGGAATGAAAGGAAATCATGAAGACCATGTCAGAAGTTGACACACATGCATGGAAAGCAATAATAGAACTTGGTGTGAATTAGAACGCTGCTTTCAAGGTGTAGTGTAGCTTCTTTTGTTTTCCTCCTGCTAATCTGCCAGAATTTGCACAAAAACCAGTCCCAAACAGCTGTGGAATTGGGCAGCCCCGCCGACGTAATCCTCCCACAAGAAGGTAATCAGTCGTTAATCGAACAAAACAATGGCCAAGCAGTGGGAGGAGGAGATTAGTCTGTGAACAGTAGTGTTTATGACCTGCTACAGCTTGAAGCCAGGCTCCCTGAAAACAGTGAGCTTGATGCCAGCACTCACTCAGACTCATCCTTGGATTATCTGCAATGAAACTGTTAAATTGTTCCCTCATGTCAAAATAAGCATGATTTAATGCTTCCATTTAGAGCCCCCTCCTCACACCCGCCCACCTCTTTTCACATGCCGTTAATGATTAACCAGCCCCCACCCCCAGGTCCTTGTAAGTAGTTATTCTGAGCATAATTCCCTCCTTTCCTATGGAGGAGGCAAAGGCAAGGAGCTGGGGCTGGTGTCGTCTCCAAGTGTAATGTGTGTACAAAAAGGTAAACAGGATCATTCTTGGCTCGGGCTCGTTTGTGAATGGAACTACGATCAGCCTCTTCAACTGTCATGTCAATATGCAGGAAAGATGTCACTAAATTCACTGAAATTGAAGAAAAAAGGAAATTACAGACAAATAAATGATGGTGTGAAGAAAAAGTGGCTTACCCTAAGGCGTCTAAGGTGTAAGACAACATCATCCGGCATGCTTTTTGGATCCTCACTGGAAAACCATGGCTGTAAGGGCATGCTACATGTGGAGACCCCGGGGGACAAAGGGGTAGAGAATGGCTGTGTAGCCACAGTCCCAGTGCCTGCGAGCGACAGACAAAGTGACGGAGAGAGGAATAGAAGGTAGTAGTGCCACGATGACTTCACGGTGCTCAGTAGCGCTTCAGTGAAAACCTTCTTGTGTCACTTCTCCACTCCCCCAGTCTGTAGCGCCACCTGTCAGGTTCAACAACCCCCCACCCCCCCAACTTCCCTTTCGATTAAGTTCCCCCTCACAAGTCTTCGCAGTCCTTTTTTTTATCAGCAGGTTTGCGTTGCTGCTGCTAAAGCGCTAGCAGCCTGTTTTGATGGGGCGAGGATATACCCTCTCCCCATTTGCCCCTCCCGCCTCCCCGCCGTTCCTCCCATCCTCTCTGTCTGCCCTCTCTGTTGAGTTCCCTGTCACCGCTTAGCCTAAACTCCTCCACACAACTCCTCCACCTCCCTCTCCACTATCACTAAATCTGTAGGCTCCCTTCTGCTTGCTTCTTATTCCTCTGGGGAACAGTATAATTACTGCCTTTCAAAAAAACCCCTTGCCCATCACTGAAGCTCCCATGCCATCCAGTCCAACGCTGTGCATGATTATGTCTGTAGGATCAGCTGATAGTGTCTCGGTGACACCCAGCCTCCGCTGAGCTAGGTAAGAACGGACACGTCCCTGAATTAGTCGAGTCTGGCTGGTGATATTCCAGAAGAGGAGGAAAAGCTGTAATATCCCACGGAGCAGACGTCTATTGAGAGGCAGAGGCAGCTGGAGCGCCAGACAGTCGCTATGGCAATATGGAGCTGCACCTATCGCCTGTGACAGCAGTGTTACGGTAGGTCTCCAACACCAGTTAGTCTCTGTGGGAGGAATGTGCATTGCATAACCAAGCAGAATGATGGCGAGAGAGGGAGGATGGATTCTGATGGCCGTGGCAATGAAGGAGAAGGAGCATGAGAATGAGAGGGAGGAGAGGAGGAGGAGGAGGAGGGAGGGGGAAACGACATTGCTCACGCTTACTGTTGTCTCCTCCTCTCCCACTGCTGTGGGGGCTGGTTGAGCACACACATGCACACACCCGTACAGCTCCCACCTAAACAACACAAAAACAAAAAAGAGAAAAACCCCAAAAAGGAGGTGAATTCAGCCCCACTGTGCTGTGCTCCACTCCGAGTTCAATCGAGCCTATCATCATCAGCTGTTGTTATTCTGGCAGACCTGTGGAGAGAGGAGGAGTGGGGGAGGAGGGGGCAACAATAGGCTTCTGGGAAATAAAGGATGGTTGAGGTTGGGTGGAAGACAAAGAGAGAGGCAGTGGGAAGATGTGAAGGTCTGTGCGTGCAGTTAGATATTTATCTTCAAAGAGTCTGAAACAAAGACACCATGTCTGCTGAGTTGTCTGAGCTCTTCCGTTGCCTTAAGACCCCTCACGACTTTGAATTTCCTAATTATACCTCTCTGTGCTGTACCCTTTGCTTCTCTGCTTTGTGAAATCTGCATTCCTATCTATGTCAGCACCAACTTTATTTACTTAGTTAGTTTCTGAGAGCTCCATTCTGAATTGTTGAGGTCAATGAGGAAATATGCATGCCCTTCCTGTTTATGTTCTTGAGCAGAGGTCAGCGCAGTTGGACTGTTTTTTTTTATTAATTTATGTCAACAAGCTCCTGATCTAGTCAGCTCATTTTTCCTAGCATTATGACTCACTCTCACTCCTCCTCTCCTTCTCCCTCCCTCACATCATCCTGTTGTTTTGTTTCTGTTCAGGTGAGCCTCAAATGTGCTCCTTTAGCCAAAAGCGCGGGATAATACATTGTATGTACAAGATACATTTTGGTTAGAAGTCAAAATGGCGATGCCTGCTGGACAGGTATCACAGTTATTGTTTTGGTGTTAACTTCATAAGAGCTGAATTAGGACTGGATGATTAATCTAATTTTAATCATGATTTCGATTTTGGCTTCTCACGATCACAAAAACATTATAATCGAAGAAAAATGATTAATGCGCCGCGTGGCGTGTATGTAAGTTCCTGTGCTGGAAAAGCACTGTGAATGCACCTGTGTTATGTGCAGCAGCAGCAAGCGTGTGACGTGTGTGGATCAATAATATGTGGAGCGAGCGATTGAGAACATGGCAGAAAGGCAGCCTTTGGTTGAGAAGAAAGGTAGGACAACTTCAGTCATCTGAAAACATTTTGGCTTCAAGTTGACGGATGTCGAGCAAAAAGAAATTGTTTGCAAAGTTTGTCACGCTGTCGTGTCTGCCCCCCAAGGCAACACGAGCGGGAAAAAAAAGTCCAAAAAGTTAATAACTTACAAATTATGGCGAAAATGTAGTTTCTTGCAATCCTAGAATTAAGATAAAAATATTCACAAACGAAAAAACACTTCTGGTTGCTGAAAAGTAGTGTTTAACTTTTGATTTAACACTAAAAATTAAAACCCTTGGCGCGCACTGCAGCACAAGCAGACAGATGCCCGACTCAGAGCAGCATGTGTTACTGACACCAGACTCAGAGCCAGTGGACCGGTGGAAAATGTCACCATCAGCATATTATTTTACATCAATAAAATCTATTTTATCATTATTTAGTCACATTGTTGAAAGAATTTACCTGTCTTTGTTCAAGCAGGATAATAGGTCTCCATTCATTGCATGTCAGGCTTTCTATTTCCTTGTCAGAGATGGTGTTGCGTTCAAGGCCCGCACTATGTTTAAACTAAGCAGCAGCCTCAGAGACTGAGGAATGAGGCCAGTGCGGAAGTCCCAAAAACTGCAGTTCATTGTATGGCCACTTGAGGATGGCTCCAAAACCGAGTAAATCCCCATTGTTAAAATGCCCAACTTAACAGCAATTTTTGCAGCCAGGTACAAAAATGGTTTTCCTCTCTATAGCTAATTTCAGCATTCATGGCTATGGTACAGGAGGTGAATTTTTTATTATTTTTTTTTCATCCGTTTTCATTTCATTAAGTTCCAAAGTTATGCATATTTTAGGGAACTACTAAAATGACAGGCTGCTACCAGTCGTTTCAGTCTATGAGTCAGTGGGTCAGAGTAAAACAGTTTGCCTCCATTTTTGTGCGGAACATCCTCGAATTTCCTTGCACCTCAATGAGACGTTGGTGTTGCATATGTCTGTATTGTCACATTACGATATATACAAAATATGGGGAGAAGTATCTGTGATTGGACAAAATTGCAGCGTCTTGCAGAATTTACAGGGAGTGTTTGAATTTGCATGAGTCATTGTGATTGCGATATCAATATCGTGCATCATTTGTGTTCATTTTTTCTGATAAGTTTGGTTATAATTAGTTATTTGATGCTATAGAAAAAGATGGTTTGACGTCATGATTGACAACTGTGTGTGACTGTCAGTGTGCTCTTTGAATCCACCAACTCTTTTTCCCACACATAGAAGAAAATGTCAAACTGCCTTAGTACAACATTGAAATATTAAAAAGGAAATTATTGTGAAACATGTATTGGTGGCACGACACTCCTCACCTCTCTGTATTGTCTCATTGGTCTATTCTTTTTTTGTTTTGTTTTGCACAAAATGGTCACCAACAGCCAAAATCCATCAAACCCCAGGCTAAATACAGTGTGGTTTTTAATGCTTCACTGAACTATGATGGCTCCACCAACAAGAAAAGGGTCTGATCTTTCTGTGCAGTAATCCTCTTATTTTTGCCATAGTGTCTTACTTCAGCTCTGGTCTATCATGCATTATAATAAGTTGTTTTGTTGCTTTGGTCTGAATGTATTTGGAACATGACCACTACAAAGTTGCTTTCAAATCTCAAAAATGTGTTCAGTTTTGCAAATGGTAGACAGTGCTCGTTTAATGCAGTTTTTGCCTGTATACATCATAGGAGGGAAAAGGGCAAGACTAGGTCAGACATGTATTGGATAACTTCTAGCTCATACCATTAGTTGAACATTTGATGGCATCATCTTTGATTTCAGTCCTGGATACAAGATCTTTGCATTCCTTCATTTTAATGGGCCAGCTTAACACCATCAACCCTGCCTCCATCTCACTACCAATACCAGGCAGATCAATAGTTTATAGTTTCAGTGTTGCAGTTATTATGACCTCAGGGGTAATAGAGCGCTGCAACTGAATTGCAGGATGTCGGTTATATAACGATGCTGCAATAATCATCTTTCCTCTGCACTTTCATCCCCACAACCTGGTCACTTCTTCATCACCTGCCAGTTATGGGAAATGAACAGGTGAAGACGGGAAGAGCTTTTAGCAGTTGGATTTCTGACTGGCTACACTTGACCCCTGCTGGTGGTTACATTAAGACTTTGGTGGGTATCTGTGTGTATGCAGAATCTGTAGGCAACGGTACAAGATTTTGGTATCGGAAGCATCCTGGTTTCCATTTGTAGTTGGACTAGTATTGATCAATCACATTTGAGCGGCAGGTTTACAGTCCATGTGGAGAGCATCAGTGGCAGAACACATTGGCACAACCCTTTAGCTATTATCTGATGACAGTTCAGCCTTTTTAAGTACATATTTGTTTGTTTTTTTGCATTTTTGTGCAGATATCTATGTATAGAGATAAGATGAAATGAGCAGCATGCAGAAGAGGAAGTCTTGGCCCATATATCCGCTGGCCACACCAGAACCCTCAAAATATTGGCCATTGACAGTGAGCAATTGCCAGTAGTTTCCATAATTGTATTTAAAGCCCAGTTCGGACCAAAGATTCACAGTGAGACAAAAAATGTTTTAGAACATTGCAGAGAAAAGTTGCAGCAGTGAAGTGACATTTTAGCTAATAACATTCCAGGTTAATATTGTATGCCCTGCTGTATGTTACTTAGCTTAATTGTTGTGTTAAGTCATAATCTTGTTTTTTTAATGCACATTTGCATCTTACGTAATAGACTTAATAGAATTTTTGACTACTGAATAGACAGTAGTTTAGGCATCTTTCTTAATTTCTACCAAAATATGTGTTGTTTTATTCGTAACAATCATTAATGGAAGTGTCAGTGTCAGCTGCCACTTCCTTTTCCTCCTAATGTAGTAGAGTAGCTCTAGTATATGAAAATTATGATCTGTTTCTACTCCACTCAACAGGTTGACAGATAAAATGACAAGGTTCCTCATGTAAACACGAGAACCCATAGTGCCTTTAAAGTAAATGGTTTGTTCAGATGATAATCTAAAACTAAAACGACAGGGAGCTGTTTTTTCTGGGTCACAGTAACCAGTTTTAAAAAGAAGTGAGCCAGATTTTTCTGCTTTTCCTTCATATCATAACCCAGTTAAGATGTCCACACAGAATATGACAGCTCAAAACTAAGTTACTTGAGTAGCTCGGTTTACAAAGGGAATCTTTGTGCACAAAAATGCAGCCACTGTTCCTTCTGTCCTTTGAAAAGGCACAGAGCTTCAGGCCACTTTTTTCTGGTTGTTCCACAGTCTAGCTTTGATGCACATTATCTACAGCGTCCACTGAGGCAGACTGTGTGTTGGCGGAGACATGTCACAGTCTTACTATTTCAGCTACTCTCTCCTCTGTTCTGTTGCCCTAGAGGGGTCAGGAAGACCTGACACTGTCAAGCCATGAGCTTGAGTCAGAGTGTTAGCCACCCACTCGGTGTGACCCGCATGCTCGACGCCTTCTTCCATGTGGGAAGTCAACAGGCACCAGTCCCTTGTAGCAACAACCAGCCCACGCACCCACTCTCCTGTTCACCCATGAGTTGTTACTCAGTGGTAACCAGCTGAATGTTTTCCATTGTTGTTTTTATCGACCGATACAGTAAACAATTGAGTATGTGGAGCAAGTGGGTTTTATGAAGACTAATGGCTGTCATATCATGTTGTCTCAGGGGGTATAGATAATGTGCAAATGGGTGGTTATCTTGAAACTACATTTGTCATTTGTACATAAATATATTTTGGCCACTGTAAAACAAGCTGACGAACCCACAGGCCTGACATTGCTTTGAGAAGAGTTGCATATTTATTAGGGCTGAGATTATGTTTTCTCCCAGTTCAATACTAACACAAAAACTTGGGTGCCAAA